CAGAGAGGGTAATCAAGCATTGGAACAGCCTACCCAGAGAGGTGGTGGATTCACCATCCCTGGAGGTTTTTAAGCAGAGATTGGATGTGGCCCTTAGTGCCATGATATAGTAATTGGAGTTGGATCTGGGGTTGGACTTGATGATCTTGGAGGTCTTTTCCAACCCAATCTATTCTATGATTCTATGATCCTTTGCCTAGCAAGGGGAATTATTTTTTTTTTACCCCTCAGTGAGGCAAAGGCCCTAATAATTCAAAGAAACTAAGAATTTCTTTTGATTTCCTGGTCATTACCCTCAGGAATTACTTCAAGACAGCTCTCCAGCACCACGAATGTTTAAACTGGGACAAGATGTTGTACATAGCCTCTAAAGCACAGTTTCAATAGTAAGCAAATCTCATAACTTGAATTAATTTCTTCTGCGATAATACATGACAGCCATCCTTTTCCTTTCTTGTAGAAAGGTTCATTAATGATTTTAAACATTACATGCACCTTGGAAGATCTGTGGTATTTCCACTAAATAATGTAAGAAACACCAGCAAATTGAAACAAAAATGAAAAGTGAAAAGAATTGTGAGAAGAAACTGAAAAAAATATTAAAGCATTCATAGAAGTGCTGTGTCATCTTTTGCCAGACAAGTTCCCTGGGGCTCAGCAGGCAGCTGGCCTCAGCGGAGCACTGATGATGCTCCACTTTCTCTTCTCTCCTCAGCATCTTTTGCCTGCAAGCAAATGCTTCCCAGAAGCCCTGCCAGCCACTGCAGAAGCCTTGGCAAAACCTGCTAAGCCTTGTACAGCACAAGTACTGCAACATCTTCCTTCCAGCCTCGTGTTTTGGACAAGCAATTTTTCATTTCACCCCATGCAACTGTGCAACCTGCACTCTGAGAAAAGGCTCTTTGTGATTATGGAAAGATAATAGTCCAAGAAACAGCTTCTGGGGAACACAATGGGCAATCCTTGAGGCCAAAGGGGCCCTGGAGCTTTCTCTTTGCCCTCCGCTCTTTGTCTAAGGACGGGGACAGCAGTACCAATTCCACAAGCAGAAGCATTGTTCTGCCATAGGGTTGGGGTCACACAGAGACAAAACCTTATCAGGACAGGATTTCTCAGCAACTAATTCTTCAATTAAGTTCTTCAGTCAATATTTGTCAATAAAATGCCTAAAGATACACTCCTCCATTTCTGTTTGGGTCTAAGTTTTGTGGATGTTGTCTGCAAATTCTTGTTAATTTAAGGAGACTTGTTTCCCATATGTAATTTGCCTTTTCAGAAACATGTAGAAAGCTCTTTAGAAGGGTGAGCTCCATGTCAGATCCAATTTCATTAGGACATTCATTTACAACTGGGAATTTTGTACTCGCTCCTCTATTGTTCTCTCTGTCTCCCATGCACGCTTGTATCCCACTTCCCTTGTCTTTTATCTCACAGTTCTGAACATCAGCTTGACTGCAATGCTGCATCCTCGTATTTTTATAAGCTGAATCATGGAATGGTGTGGGTTGGAAGCAACCTTAAAGATCATCTAGCTCCAACCCTGCTGCCATGGGCAGGAACACCTTCCACGAGACCAGATTGCTCAGCACCCCATCCAACCTGGCCTTGAACAGTTCCAAGGATGATGCATCCACAACTTCTTTGGGCAAAAAGAAATTTTGTCAGCAGTTTGAAACTCAAGATACAGCAAAGAAGCTAATTTTTTTTTTTTTGATCATGCCATGAATCAGTTGCATCTTTTGTTTCTGGCTTAGATGGCTGCTAGAGAATAGTTACCTCTTGTGGAGGAATCTTACAGGCAACCATTCTGAGGTCAACCTTGATAAATGTATCTGTACATGGAAGTATGAGGATTATACCTGAAAAATAAAAATAGAAATAATTAGATGAAACACCTCTGAAAGTTTAGTCCAGAACCAGCTGTATTGTACAAAGCAAATGGATGGAAATATCCACACGGTGGAGAATGAGCCTTGTTATTATAGAAGCTCTTTCTGCTACAGGAGGTGACAACAGTGAGGTTTTGCATTTTCAAATAACATTGGGAAATGCAGATATCTGCAAATAATGTGAACTCATTAGAGCTTAATGACCTAAGGCTCTGCTCTGGCAATGAGCAGACTGCAACTCTAGTCTTAAATCTGCCATGAGACTTTTGGCAAAAATTCCGTCCATGCCTTTGTTCTGTTTCCCCTTTTTAAATCATAAGCCATTTATGGTTCAGTACATCTGTACCCAGGAAAGAAGTCCCCAGATCCATTCCTGCATGGTTCCCACATGAGAAACATTGTCCCAAGATATGATCCATCCTGTGAAGAAGTCCCCACTCTCATTCACTGGAGAGGGAGATTTGATACAACTATTCTAGTCTCAGCATTTTGGTTTGGTGCCCAGAGCCACACAGAAGAGCTCTGCACCAGCCCCAGCTGCTCTTTTGACCTCATAACTATTATCCAAGAGGAAGGACAGTACCTGAAAAGGACTTTTTCCTGTTATTTCAACTTCCAGTTTGCCCAGTTTCACTGCACAGAGGTGATAATGCACCAACACAAACACCTCATGAAATTGGGTTTGTTTTGAGCTTGTGAAGTGACTGTAACAAACTCTACATAGATGCCCAATATCTTGGCCCTGACACATTTACCATTTTCAAAGCAGAGACAGCTAAGGAGTTGGCAGCAACAAGCAGTGTTGGAAATGAGGTACAGGGAGAAAGGCCACAACAGTCACACATAAAAGACTGCAGCAGACCTGGAACACTGCATTTAAATCTCCCTGCAGTTCCCTCCAGTGTTTGTAGCATGAGCTCAGCCTTTTGTTGTCCAATCTCCTCAACAGCAAAGCCATACCTGGTATCAAGGTACTCAGACTTCTGGGCTGTGATGGGAGGGTGGCTTTATATTCTCTTCAGAAAAGCAAATAGTCTGCAGGTAAAGGAACTGCAGTAAAGAGAACCTTCTCAGTCCCCTCTATGCTGTGAAGAAGGATTTCATGAACCTCTGCAATTCTCTATGTGATAAGAGTGCATCATAATAAAACAAATAAAGCTGGTGGATTTTAATAGAATAAAACTGTGTGCATTCACCTGCTCCCTTTGCCTTCTTAGACAGTATACGTCCCAGACGAAATACAACAGCTCGTTCATATTCTCTGATAACCTGGAAAATTTAAAGTTTAGAATTTTACAACTAATTCTACTCTCTGGTCTGATTTATTTAATCTTTGGCATACATATTAAATGTGAAAAAAGAAGAAATAATATAGAAGGCAACAAAGCTGCAAACCACTAGGTGTTTTACAACTTCTACTTACCCCATGTTTTGCTGAAAAAAAATCAGACCCTGGCCCTGCAAATATGTTACAAAACAGATCAAATATGAAAGAACTGCCGCTGGGATAGCTGAGGCTATCCCAGAGCTCTCTCAACATCAGCACTACACTCATAGGAGCTGTAGGCAAACCGTGTCTCACCTCAGGTAGCCTAGCTAACTACTTCAGTTAGTGCATCACAACTACTGAAGGCCTGGAGTTCATGTAAGTCACACTTTAAGACTGCTTGAAATTATTATGCCCATGTCCTGAAGGGGCATTGTGTGGGGTTAGGCTATGCAGTTTTTCTCAATGAAGGGCCACATGTTCCCATCTTCCTGTGTTAATCCCTATTGCTAGCAGCATCAGAAATGAGTTCTTTAGAAAAGTCTGTAGATTTATTTTCCCAATATTTTAAGTCAGAGAAGTTTATCTGATGACGGAAGTTGAGACTGGAAGAAATTAAACGAGAAAGTTGTGGTGATACAGAAAGTTAGTGAAAGAACATGGATCTTCATCCCAGAACACATCTTTGCTACAAGCCCTTATGATTTCCAAAAAGCAAATTTAAAGTGCCTTGTCTTAACTAAACTGATTAAAAAAAAAATAACACCAATGATAACATAGTATTCTTATGTACCTCAGATCCCTCGAGCTTACCTTCATACATGCCCAGATGGAAATAGGAAAGGTAATAAGCACCAGGAGGAATGAAAGGGAAACCAGGATCCAGCCACAGACACCAATTCCTTCCCGCTTGTCAGCTATAAAAGAATATAAAGTAGAGGAGCAATGAATGCAAAATTTGAAGAGTTATCCCAGGGATGTAGATCTAGCCCAGTGCAATCATAAAGGACTGCAAAGTCCAGAGACTCACTCCCTCTTCTTCCATCACTCAAAGAAAGGCATCAAAGACCTAACCAAACATCCAATCTTATGGCCCTTCTGTCCAAAAGGTCAGAAAAGGTTCAGAAAATGCATTTAGCAACAGAAATAAAAAGGAAAATGTAAGATATTGCCAAAGCTGGGGGGCTGTGAAGGAGAATTAAAAACCTTGGGTGGAGTATCCATGAGTATGAATCTGCCAGTGCACCATGGCCGGGGCAAAAGATTTAGTTTGTATGAAACAGGTAGTAAGGAAAATGAGAGGAACTATTGCTGCCTTTACACAAAGGTTTTGAGGAATATTGATGGACCAGTTCATCCAGTGAACCATAAACTTCAGAATTACTGCTTGTCAAAATGCAGACCCATGCAGAGTAAGCAGTTGTCTTATTGAGTTGTGTTTGTCTCATCTCAAAATTTCATTACCAAAAAAAACCCACAACAAACCCCCTCTCAAAAAAAAAAAAAAATCCACCAAACAAACAAAAAAACCTCACCAAATTTCATTATTTTAATACCTGAAGGTAAGGCAGCAGTGAGTAGCTGTTCAAATGCTAAAAGGTCTGGAGGCTCTTTGCAAGGAAAGTGTGACCAAGGAGCAGTTGGTCTTTGAAGAGAAGAACAGTTGGAGTTGCTGAAATCCTCAGAGAATAGGCAAGAAAGGAATCAGGACAGTCTTTCCATCAGGACAGA